CATTATATATTTTGGAGATCAGACCCTTGTCCGAGGTATCATTGGCAAATATGTTTTCCCACTTCATTTCTTGCCAGGTTTATCAGTACTGTACTTTGCCACTAAGGATCATCTGTATAAGTACAATAAAATAATTAGCAGTCAATATTCATATTTCCATAATTTTTTAAAGTTTTAAATAAGATTAAGAGAATTTTGTGAAGTTTTTATTAGTATTTTTATTTTTTGTAAGGTTTTCTTTAGAAGTGGGTTTTGGCTCTTACAAATTAAAAATCAGTATTTAAAAACAGTATTTTCTTGCTTTGAGTTACTTTGATCTGTTTTGACATTGATAATGCAGGACTATGTAGTTTCCCTTGCTAGTTTGTGAATAAAGATGTAAATAACAAAGTAACCAGGATTCATAGCCAGTAAAGGATTGTTATTCAAAATACACAAAGAATACTTAGAACTCAACCTAGGAAAACAACCTGATTTTTTAAAATGGGCCACAGACCTTAATAGATATCTCACCAAGGAAGACAGCAAATAAGTATCCGAAAAGATGCTCCATATCACGTTATCAGGGAAATGCAACTTAAAACAATAATGAGATACCACTACATGCTTATTAGAAGGGCCCCAATCCAGACACTGACAACCCAAATGTTGGCCATGATACAGAGCATCAGAAACTCTCATTCATCGCTGGTGGGAATGCAAAATGGTACAGACACTTTGGAAGATAGCTTGGCAGTTTCTTACAAAGCTAAACATGCTCTCACTATCATTCATGACCCTCGGTATTTACCCAAAGGATTTGAAATTGGACATTTATAGAAAAACTTGCATGTGGATGTTTATAGTAGCTTTATTTGTTGTTGTTGTTGTTGTTGTTGTTTTTGATCCTCACCCAAGGATATTCTTTCATTATGTTTTAGAGAGGAAGGAAGGAGGTGAGAGAGAGAGTGAGAGAGAAACATTGACTGCCTGCCTCCCATACACATCCTGATTAGTCATTGAACCCGCAACGTAGGCATGTGCCCTGACCCAGAATCAAACCCACGAGCTTTCAGTTATGGGACGATACTCCAACCAACTGACCATACCAGCCGGGGCAGTATAGTAGCTTTATTTTTAATTGCCAAATCTTGGAAGCAATCATGATAAGAACAGGAACAGAATCACAGAAATGGAGAACACATGGAGGGTTATCAACAGGGGAGTGGGAGGAGCAGAGAGGGGGAAAAGGTACAGAGAATAAGTAGCATAGATGGTAGGTAGGAAATAGACAGGGGGAGGGCAAGAATAGTATGGGAAATGTAGAAGCTAAAGAACTTACAAGCATGACACATGGACATGAACTAAAGGGGGGAAATGTGGATGGGGGACGATATGCAGGGTGGAGGGGAGTGAAGGGGGAAAATGGGACAACTGTAATAGCATAATCAATAAAATATACTAAAAAATAAAAAAAATTTAAAAAAGAAGTGATTGAATAAAGAAACTGGTACACCCAGACAAGAGTATATTATTCAGCACTATAAAGAAATTATTTATTAATCCATAATAGACATGGAGGAAGTTTAAATGTATATTAAGTGGAAAAAGGCACTCTGAAAAAGCAGCCAACTATGTGATTCAAACTCTATGACATTCTGGGAAAGACAAAGCTATAGAGATAGTAAAAAAAAATCAGCGGTTGCCAGGGGTTGGGGGATGGGGAGAAATGCATGGGCAGAACATAGGATTTTTAGGGCAGTGGAAATACTCTGTGTGATACTGTAACGATAGACAACATGACATTTTACACTTATCCAAACCAAACCTATAGAATATATTCAATACAATACCAGGAGTGAGCCCTAATGTAAACTGTTGACTGGGGGGTGATAGTGACGCGTCAGTGTAAGTTTATCAGTTGTGACACGTGTACCACTCTGGTGGAGGATGACTGGGTATGTGTGGGGACAGGGGTTCGTGGGAGCTCTCTGTAACACCCTCTCAGTTTTGCTATGAACTTAAAACTGCTCTTAAAAAATAGTCTGAAAAACAAATGTGGAGTCCTGTGCAGTAGTACTGTTTTCTGTGTATTTAACTCAGAGAAGGAGTGGTCCTCACACAGGAAACCAGAGGTAGGAGGATGAACCTGAGGGCTGGGAAGAAAGCTTCACAGGCTGGATTTGGGGTGATTCTGAGAGGTGAAAGTGAAAAATGGTCTCTTCCACATATAGATGTCCTTTTTACGTAGAGGGGATTTTTAAAAATTAACCACCATTGTCTCAGCAGTCTTAGAGCTAGGCTTTGGTGTTCTTGCGTTGCCCAAGTGTACACAAGGTTTATTTTCTCTTCCTTGGTTGTCTAAGTGGAAGCAGCTAGCAAAGAAGAATCCCCACAGTATCAGGGTTGAAGAGCAAGCTCTCATACGTAGTACAGGTTAATTCAGGACAATATTGCTTCCCAAGCTGTCTCTGGAGGATGTTAATGAGTATACTTCCAAAATAAGTGTTCTGGGTCGTATAAGTAAAAGAAAGAAAATAAAGGAGGTTTTTTAAAGAGTATATGTCTTTGTGTGTGTGTATGCATTTGAGTTGTTGAACGGCTAATTACATTGTACATTGATTAGAGGAAGGTGTAGTATACCTTATTTCCCAAATTTATCTTGATCACGGAACCCTTTTGTCATATATTCTGACCTATATCCACGAGCACTGTTATAAGTAGTATGCTTCATAAAACACTACTCTAGGTTAATGGGCAGAAAAACAGGCTAGCTGGAAGCTATCACTTGCTGAGTTGAAAGGAAAGAACTTTTGCTACTGTGGTGTTGTTTTTCCTCATTTAAATGATAAGACATTTTTCAAATATTCAGATTTAACAAATTAGATACAAATGATTTCATCTTCTGTGACTTGACAAGCATAAGCTTTAAATAGCTTTCATAAACCAAGAAGCTGTCTTTTGGTTTTGCTTTGACTGAAACAACTTGTTAAAAGTCAGTGATTAAATGTGAGCACTTGCTCTCAATAGAACTTTCTGCAGTGATGGTAATGTCCCATATCTGTGCTGTTCTAGGTGGCAGCTGGTAGCCACTAGCCACGAGTGGTTATTGAGCATTTAAAATGTACTAGTGTGACTAAGGAACTGAGTTTTTACTTTTATTTCATTTTCATTAATTTAAATTTAAATAATTGCATGTGGCTACCAGCTGTTGTACTAGACAGTGCAGCCTATAGACTAGATGTATAGACCAGAGCACTTTTATACTATTTTAAATTGATATGGTTATAATTAAATTACTCTTTGGGGAGTATTTTTTTAAAAATTGAGACTATGATGAATATACTTATATGGTTTATGTGCACGTAACTCTATAGCCACATAATTGAGAGCACTCTCTCAGTGGTTTGCACTTTTAAAAAACTATTTTATTAGCTAGCTTGCCAGGTTGTTAATATTTTTTGTAGTTGTTATTTCTTTTGTATAACCAATACTGCATTCTGAAATTACGAAATAAGTTTTTATATTCAGTTTTAGAAAAAAATGATAACGTGAAGAAAGATATCTTGTGAGATAACAGACCTCAGATTTAGCTCCATTTGTCATTGGCATGCTTAGTGGCATTAAAGCATTTGCAAAACTTGTAGTATTGATTTATCTCTAAGTTGGAGGTACATTGTATATAGATGTTCTTTGAAAATGTTAGATCTGTACAAAATGAAAATAATTAGCATTGTTATTAAATACTTTTGGACATGCCAGAAAATTGACTCATTTTCTGTGAATGTACTTTGAGTTTTAAACATTGTGATCCTTAATTATTTGATTTTTGACAAGAGTAATGTTTACACTTGTTAGAAATTTAAAAATTAAAATAAATTAAGGCATATAAATTGGCAAAATAAAAGTATGACTAAAAGAAACTTGAATTATTTAGAATAAATTATTAAAGATAGGACTACCTGAGAACTTCATCATTTTCAAAGTAGTTTGTCTTATCTAGAACTGAACTTGGGAAATTTCATAAACTAAATAATTCTTTGCATGCAGCTTATTTAATATATTGATACCTTTTATCCTTACACTTGCCATTGGGTAAAATATTTTCTCTTTCTGTTATGACTAAAGAACTTCACTTTAGTATTTGAACTGTTAAGGAGTTTATGTATTTTTATTCCATTACCTTTCAATTGTAACTGGTTTCATTACTTTTAAGAGGTGGCCATTACTTAAAAAGTTGTCTACAAGCATTCTGTATAAAGTGGAACTGATGGCTTTTCCACAAGAAGCTATATATTATGTGGAGCCATAGGTACAGCCTCAACATAAGCAATGATTTTTTTCAGTGTATAATAATAATTTTTTAAAGATTTTATTTATTTATTTTTAGAAAAGAAGGGAAGGAGAAAGAGAAGGAGAGAAACATCAGTGTGTGGTTGTCTCTCACATGCCCTTAACTGGGGATCTGGCCCTCAACTCGGGCATATGGCCCACAACACAGGCATATGGCCTGACTGAGAATTGAACCAGCAACCCTTTGGTTTCAGGCCAGTGCTCAGTCCACCGAGCCATACCAGCCAAGGGCATAAAAATAATTTTTAAAGCCATATATATTTACTATGATAATCATTACTATTTGTCTTTAAGTTGTGGTTTTTATTTTCCCTAATTTACCTTATTTTAAATATAGCTACTAAATGGTACTAATCAGTTGGGATTTAGTGTTTTGTATTACATTTGATTGTTTCATTAATTTGTTGATGTGAAAAACTGAATGTTTTTAGTAACTTTACTCAGAGGCATCTTCAACTGATCATGTCTAATTCAGAATATAATAAAATGTTTTAAACATTACACAAGATCATGAAAATCTTAGCATTTAAGGGACCTTAGTATTTAGTGTACAGCTATTTTTTGTACAACTGGTTTGCACAAAAATTTTGAAATATATTTTAGTTGCTTTGAGAATAAGGAGTAAAGACAAAATTCCTTATTTTTCTTTTGTTTTTGTTTTTATAAAGACACCTAGCTGTTGGGTGGAAGAGGGAGCAGAAAAGAGGTCGCATCAGCGATCTGCATCATGGGGGAGTGCTGACCAACTAAAAGAGGTAAGCTATTTCTGTTTTTAGTCTATAACCTAGTTTTTAAAGATTTTATTTATTTATTTTTTGGAAAGAGGGGAAGAAAGGGAGAAACGGAGGGAGAGACATCAGTGTGCAAGAGAAGCATTGATCAGTTGCCTCTCACACACCCCCATCCGGGGACCTGGCCCCACAACCTACGCATATGCCATGCATGGGAATCAAACTGGCGACCTTTTGGTTTGTGAGACAGTGCCCAAACGACTGAGTTATGCCCATTAGGGTCCTATAACCTATTTTGGTCTTAGCAAATTATCTTACTATTTCCTGAATATAATGGTACTTTCTTTATTTGTGTTAGCCTTACCTCTTACAGAGTTTAAGTCTTGCCTCCCATGTTTTGATAACAAGTCTGAGTTTAACTTAGATGTGTTATTCATGTTCTTTATAAGTATCTGTTATGCACCCTCTCACTTTTTGCCTTTCCAGAATGAATTCTGATTTTATATATCATATTGGTATATCTTCTTTGTTTTGGTTATCTTTTGTTCCACCTCAGCTTTCTTGCTTTTGAGTTACAGCAACCAAAACTTAGATCATAGCTTTGTACAATGGTAAGAAAGTGTTTTCTGCTTCTAATAGCTTTGTTATATAGCCAGCATGTTGTTGCCCTTTAAGACCCAGTATAGTACAGTGGAAGTCACATCTTTTATAATGGTTTTTATGACCCTATTTTCTTATTCATTATGAATAACCCAAATTACAATCAACTTTATGTATATTTTGGATTATTTTTCCTGATAGTGTTATCTTATATCTATCTAAATTCTTATCTACTTTTTATAGAAACTTAGAGTTGAAAGGTCACCTAGTCTATTTTCTATGTAAACACTCCTTTAAAAAATGGTTATCTAGTATATTTTGATCGTTCTTGGTGAGAGAATCTCATGGCTTTGCAAGAGAACCAAACTACTTCATTTGTTTCAGCTTAAGTTGTTAACTAGTTCTTTCTGTACATTGAACTCAGAATTATACCCCTTAGTTTTGACTCTGCCCTCTGTATCAATGTGTAAGTCTATACTTAAATATTTCAAATGCTAGCAATGTCATTTTTCTCCAAGGTAAAGATTGACATTTCTCTTATATATTTTTATATATGCCATATTTTCCATAACTTTTAGTGTCATTTTCATATGCTATGGGCTATCAGTATCTTGCATATACTATTGTATGTAGACTGAATAGATATAATCTATTAGCATGATTATGCCTATGAATATTAAAATTTCAGTAGGTTCTTTATATTTAATTATAAATAGGTTCTCTATAATCTTTATAGAGAAATCCTTGACATCTGTCCACCTACACACAAATGCATGTGCACAAAATCAGTTACTTCCAGCAGCAAAAAAAAAAAGAAGGAAAGAAGGAAGCAGGTTTAATATAACTAAAGTAGCTACGTATCTATGCATAAAATCTGAATAACAAAAAAGCACACTTGTAATTTTATCTCAGAGGTAAATACAATCTCAAAATAATAGCCAAGATTTGGCATGGGTGAACTTTGGACTACAACAACACAAGGTATGCATGATTGAAAAAGGAATGGCTAACATTAAATGTGGAATGAGAGATTTGATTGCTCTCCCACAAAGCAGCCATAAAGCAGGATGAATCAACTAATTCAGTGCTCTGGAAATCAACCAAACAAATTGAGAAGCTTTCTTTATTCATGAAAATTACTGAACTCAGGGTAAGAATAACACAAGTTTGTGGTGTTCTTATCTGGCCCTTTCCCCCTCTTCCTCATCCCTGGCCTTGTTGGTCTGACATTTCAACTGAGGTGGGGCAAGCCTTGGAAACCAGAAGCTTTCAGCCCTTGCAGGGAGAGAGCACTTAGTAGAGAGTGTGGAAGATTAAATTAGTGATCTTAGTTGCAAAGGAACAGGGAGGGCCAGTGGCACTCTGCCAATCTGAGATTGGAGTCCTATTTGTGGCAAGCAATACACTCGTGGAGTAGTGAGATTTTATAGAGTTCTAGGAGGCAAGACAGTCACAGGAGCTTTACAAGTTCATCTCATATCCCATCTTCACTGGATATGCACAGCAGAAAATGAAGTGGGCCCAAGCCACCTATGCATCGCTGGTCAGTGGAGCCTAAGAATACGTAGAAGAGATTCAAGCAGGCCTAGTGATAATAAAACTTGGAGCCAACTTGTAAAAGGCTCAGACTTCAAAGGCACTACTCACTCTATATACAAATCCCATCCTGGGAGTGGAAGCCTTACTGGACTGAGATGTTTGGGTAAAATCTCAGTCAGTCTTTGGCTGAACCCGAAGACGAACATTGGAGACAAGCTTGAAAAGGTCTTACAAAGCCAGACTTACAAGGAAAAATGAGGGGGAAATAGTGGAGGAGAGACATCAGTGACCACCCGTTAGTGGAAAAACAGTATTTTAGTCTATCTGGTTACTAAAGCACAAACAGAGAACACAACAGCAGCTTTCAGAGAAAATCAGAACCTAGAGTTGCTACAATCTATTATCTAAAATGTCTGATATTCAACAAAAATATTAGAGATATATAAAGAAATATGAAAGTATAACCCATACTTTTAAAAAAAGCAGTAATAGGAACTGTGTCTCCATGTTGGATTGAGCAGACAAAACATCAAAATTACTGTTGTAACTGTTCAGAGGAGGAAGCCATTTTTAAACCATTAAAGGGAAGTAGGGTGATAGTAACTTAGTGAATGAAGAGTTTTCACAGAGAGATAGTTATCATTTAAAAGATGCAAACAAAAACTCTAGAGGTAAAAAATGTAACAGTGCAATTACAAATTCACTAAATAGACCTAATAGCAGATTTGAGATAGCAAGGAGAATCAGTGAATTTGAATATGTCAACAGAATTTAAACACTCTGATGCCAGAAAGAAAAAGACTGAATAAAAATTAAAAGACCCTAAAATACCTGTGAGAAAACATTAAGTACATACACATTGACATTATAGGAGACCCAGGAGAGAAGGAAAAGAAGATAAAATATATTTGAAGAAATAATGGCAGGAAACTTTTCAGATTTGGTGAGAAACAATCTATAGATTTAAGAGATTCAACATATCCCAAGTAGGAAAACAAAATGGGCCACACATAGGCAGAGCACGATTACACTGCTGGAAGCCAAAGGAAAAGAGAAAACTCTTGAAAGCTGCAAGAAGAAAATGTCTCATTACACATAGGGGATCAGTAACAACTTTAACAGCTGGCTTTTTATCAGAAATGGTGGAGACCATAAAGCATGATATATTGAAAGTGTTGAAAGAAAAAAAAAAAACAACTGTCAACCAAGTATTCTATATCCAAAAAATCTAGTCCTCCAAAATAAAGGTGAAATAAAGTACTCCCAGATAAGCAAAGATTGAGGGAATTTCTTTCTACTAATTCTCTTAACAAGAAATACTAAATGAAATCTCCAGATGTTAATTCAAATCCACTGGAAGAATTGAAGAATGTTTGTATGGTAAATATCAAAGAGTCTGTAAATATATTTTATTCATTTTTCAGATATTTAAAAGACATATCATATAAGTCAATAATTATAACATTATAATGTTGGGTTTATAAAATATATATGACAATAACACAAAAGAGGAGCAAGGAAAAGGACATATTATTTCAGTATAGTTCTTATCTTACTGGGACTATTTTGAAGTATATTGTGATAAGGTGTTATAATCCCTAGGGTAGTTGCTAAGAAAATAACTCTAAAAAACTGAAGGTAAAAGTATCAGAGAGGTATCAGGTGAGTGCACTAAAAATATCACAAAAGAAAATAGAATTTTAAAAACATACGACACAAAGAGAAACTGAATAGCAAAATGGTAGAGGTAAATCTCACCATGTAAATACATTCAATGTGAATGGACTAAATGTTCTGCTCAAAAGGCAGAGACTGTCAGACTGGATTTAAAAAGTAGCACTAAGCTCTGTGCATCTGTAAGAAGCACACCTTCAACTCAAAAACAAATAGGTTGCAAGTAAAAACATGGGAAAAGATACACAATGAAAACAGTTGTAAGAAAGCTTACCAAATAAAATAGACTTTAACAAGAGGTATTACCAAAGATAAATAGAGACTTTTTTTCTTATCCTCACTCAAGCCCATGCTTACTGATTTTAGAGGAAGGGAGGGGGAGAGAAAGGGAGAGAGACATGGTTGCAAGAGACAAACATCGATTGGTTGCCTCTTGTAAGCACCTTTAAAACTGAACCCACCACCTAGGCATGTGCCTTGACCAGAAATCGAACCCATTACCTTCAGTTTATGAGACGACGCTCTAGCCAACTGAGCCACACTGGCCAGGTTGAGGCATTTTATATTGATTAAAAGGTCAATATATCAGGAAGGTATAGCAATCGTAAATTTTGTGTACCTCTTACAACAGTACCAAAATGCATGAAGCAAGCCCCTCAAAGGAGAAATACAGTTTCTACAATAATAATTGGATATTTCAACACCTCATTCTAATTACTTGGTAGAACAACTAACTAGATGGAAAATCAGCAAGGAAATAGAAACTTCAACATTATCCATTAACTTCACCTAATCGACATGTATAGAAAACTCTACCCAGTGACTGCAGAATACATATTCTTTTCAAACATCTGTGAAACATTCTCTAGGTTAAACCATTCACTGGGCCATAAAGCAAGTCTTCATAGATTACAAAAGGTTGAAATTCTGTAACAGAAAGAATTTGTAGAAAACCCCAAATATTTCTCAATTAAACAATATGTTTCCAATAATACAAGGGAAATTTTAAAATAATCAAGTGAACAAAAACAAAAAGATAACTTAGAATTTGTGGGTGTAGCTAAATCAGTGCTTCAAGGGAAATTTATACCTTTAAATACCAGATCAGTACCTAAACTTCCATCTTGAGAGACTAGGGGAAAAAAGCAAACCAGACCACAAGCAAACAGGAAGAAGATAGGAAAGAGTATGGCAGAAACCAGTGAAACAAA